CAAGACATAACACTATTCTCTGTGGATGTAGGTTTGCTGTCAAAGTACTTGAAATGGGGCTACAAATAGTGGGTCTTAAGAAAAGGCTTTTAATCTAATTATGCAGAATGAGATTAGTGTTTTGGCCTCATAACACTTAACGTGAGTGAAGTGCTCAACCCCAAGGAAAAGCTGCTAGGAAAACAAGTGTTTCTCGGTTTACCTTCCAGGTGACCCTGATGCTCTGAGATGATATGGGCTCCAGGTGAACTTCCTGAGGTGGGCCGTCAGGAGCTGAAAGACCAAAACCCACAGGCTGGTTAGAATGAGTTCCAGAGTGGATTGAAACCTACACAGCCCCACACAGGCTCCGAGCCTGGGCTACGTCAGCACAGACAGCATTTTCAGCATTAGTGGGCAAATCCATTGGCAGAGTCCCTGTGCACTAAATTTAGCCTGGGCTTTCTCACTCCCAGGAAATGTGACTCCAAGGGCTGTCCTGGTATTCCTCCTCTCCGTGTCCTTGACAACTTCATTAATAAACCTCAAGGTAACGGGTAAAATACCTTGTATTTTTTAGAAAACTGTGTGTGTGGCAGTCTCTTTCCCTTGGCAGTCTCTCCTAGTTACATGGCTTTGGGGTCCCTTGGGTTGCTCAGAGCTACTGAGGGAAAAAAAAAAGCAGATACTTCTACCTTGAGTCTCCCTGACCGCTTTAGTTTTTCACACTTTTCAATCAAAAATTCTTGTGAACCACAGGCTGTGTCCTCTGATGGCAGAAGCAAAGCTGAAGAGTAAAACAGGGTGCAAGTCACACACCTATTTCTACTGATTGTTTGGATTCCAGCGATACCCAGTGACGGCCGATTAACGTGTCTTAGAAATGTACTGCGTGCTAAGTACCTCGTGTAGAACTAAGGGGAAAAAAGCATTCTCGTCCACCCAGAGTTCATGATCTAACCAGGACAATCATATGTGCATGCGTGTGAGTGTGCGCACACGCACACACACGCACACACGAGGACAATACAACACAGCATACACTCGAGTGTCATCTGAGAGTAGAAGCAAACGGTGACCCAGGAGTCAGCAGGGAGAGGCCCCTGTGGATGAAAACGTGTCGTTGGATTGACGATTGTGCGATCACAGCTGCTAAAGAAACATTTCTGCGGATGGGGATGCCCATTTGCAGGAGGGCGAGGAGCATATAGGAGCTCAGGAAGCACAGTGAACATGAGCTGAGTTTGGCAGTGAAAGAAAGGGTAAAGGTGAAGGTCGGATTGGGGAGAGGCAAGGCCAGGTGACACATTTTCCTGTTTTTCAGAGGAAGCAGTTTTGAGTAATAATGTAACACACAGATGCTTCTCACCTCACGAGGGGGTTATGTCCCAGCCAACCCACTGGAAGCTGAAAATATCGTACGTTGAATATGCATTTATCAGCACACTAGAGCACCAGTTGTTTACCCTGGTGCTCACATGGTCACTGGGCACTGGGGCTCCTTGCCTCCTCACTGCCNCCATCGAAGGCTGGGAAAGAATGAGGGGGTGTCATGTGATGAAACAAACAGTGGATGCGACTTGACACTGAGATGTGCTTAGAACAGAGGAGCTATTGAATTCAGGTTTGAGAAATAGTCATGAATGACAGAAGGTTTGAAGTGTGCACCATCTTGAGGAGCCAAGAACTCTGACATGCAGCCAACAGTCACCCACATTGAGTCAGAGATGGCAGCTGAGCAGGAAGTGGCCGCCAAGGGGGTGTGTGGGCTTGGGACACAAATGTAGAATTTTAGAAACAGGCTCGTAGAATGCTATGGGATGAAATCGAGGTTAACTACTATAAAACAGGACTCCATTGATTCAATTTCTAAACTGTAGAGTGATTCCTATTTCATCCATCTATTCATCCATTCTTTCATTAATTCATTCATTCATCTAACCAACCAACATTTGTTGAATAGCTCTCTTTCTAGGCCCCTCCATTTTTTTTTAAATTTTGCTGTCCTTTGCGTATCATACTGTCTGTTAGCCACATATAGCAGTTCTCATCAGCTATAAGAGCTTATCCAGTGGCTTTGGCCAGTGACCTAACAAAAGAGTTCAGGGCACATATGCAGACCAGGCGCTGTTTTGTATAGAGCAGCTGTGAGAACTGGTCTCCAGGAATAGCTCCGGCCTAACCTCAGGGCCTCTAGATGTCACGCCTCCTACTTAAGCTTCCGCTGCCAACCCAGGTAGCTCGGGAGGGGGAGTCGGCTACTGCAGCTCAGGGAAGCCAGAGGGAGCTTCTGAGTCCGTCAGAAGGGTGATGCTCAGTGTTCCAGAGCCTGGGAATGGAGCCAGTGGGGGACCTGGCAGGGGAATGGAGGCACCCTGGGTTCAGACCAAGGAATGAGGGGATGAGGAGGAGAGCCGCAGGAGGTTTCTGGGGGCCAAAGAGGGGTGGAGCTGGGGACACGCTAGGCAAGAATCTACCTGGAGACTGAGGTTTTGGGAGACTGGTTCAGCTTGCACGTTTAAGTCTGCAGGCAACAGTGATTTTGAGGGAAAGGGGTTTGCATTCAGATGCTGAGAGGGAGTGCGCACTAGTCTGTGAGCCTAAGGCTGGGGCCCCAACTATTTAGTGGTAGCTGAGAGATTCCGAAGGACTCAGCCCCTCCCGTGCAGATGGGTGTGTGTGGGCTTGTCCAACAGGGAATAGCTCTCTTGTAGGTAAAGGGGGCCCTTGAGGGTGGCAGGATGGCCAAGGAGGGTGGGGCTGACCCAGCACAAGGCCACAGAGATCTGGGAGGGACACAGTGGACCCAGGTGTGCTAAGCAAGTGCAGAAGGCTGGGTTTTCAAAGACAGGGAGGCTTTGCAAAGGAGTGACCCGCCTCAACCATATGCCAGACTGCTGCTGTCAGGTCTTTGTAACTTCCACTAAGTACGGTTTGCCCAGAAGAACTGAAGATCTGAAGCTCAGAGGACCTGCTCAGTGAAAGGGAGGCTTTAACTCCCCACCTAGAGAGAGTTACTCAGGGCTTTGAATCTCTGTCCAAAGAACCAATTAACAGGAAGCTACTCGTGAAGCATTTCAGTTGTAGGTGGCTTCTCCCTAGGTCCCCTCTCAATTTAGTAAATAAAGCAGGGTTGACAGACTCTGTTCCTGGAGCCAAGCCTGTTTGGCCACTTGTTTTTATATGGCTCTTAGCTAAGAATGTATATGTTTTTTACATTTTCAAATGGTTGCCAAAAATCAAAAATCAAAAAATCAAAAGAGGAAGAATATTTTGTGACATGTGACAATCACATGAGCTTCATTTCAGTGTGCCCAAGCAAAGGCTTACTGGAGTTCAGCTGCACTCACTTGTTTGCTTATTGGCTGTGTCTGCTTTTTGTGTCACAATGGCCCAGTTGAAGAGTTAAGACAAAGACCTATGACCCACAATGCTGAAAGTATTTTCTCAGGCCCTTTATAGAAAGTGTCTGCAGACCCCTTAGAACACAGCGTCATGAACCAAAGCCACGTGCAAGGTAGATTTCACGGGGTGGGTTGAGTTTGGAGGTGGGATGGGAGGTGGAAGGTGATAAATGGTGGGTGGAGAGGGGCCACCAAGACAGGAAGGGCAGAGAAAGGCCAGGGTTTGGGCTGAGTGTTTGGTAGAGTCGGTTACCCTTCTTGCTGAGATGGCAAAGTTCTAACTTGTGTTGTATCAGAAGATAAGTAATGTCTGTCAACAGTAGACTTTGGACTATAACTTCTATATCTGCCATTTACACATTTGTGATGATTTAAGTACAGAGTGGCATTGCTCTTGTAATTATTTACCTTTGTCTTTTGTCTGTACTTGGGTAATAAAAGACATTAGCTTCAACTAAAGGAATCTCAGGCATCAGCCTGCATGAATGGATAATGGGGGAGGAGAACATTGAAAAAGCATCTAGTAGGCTACTCTGCTCAGTCAGGAACATGCTAGAAACATCTGGACAAGGGAGCACTCTGGTTCTGAAGTGGGGGATATGCCTGACACACGCCCAACTGCACATGGAGCCACAGAGTTAGTATTTACCCCTGAGGGAGACACGGCAAGTTCCCCAAATCACACTTTCCTTCTCTTGGGAATTCTCACTCCTAAAAGTCAGTAAGACTACGTCTCCTGAATTCTTTTGTTATTTATATAAAAACAGGGCATATTTCCAACTTTAGATTGTAACTGGCAGGGGAAACAAGAATGATGATATATTTTTCAAAGGTAGTATTGTTTTATTTCCTATATTTCTCTGATTGCTGAAAGCACAAGGAACTTTTCAGTCTCAACTTAAAATTTTCAAAAAAANTGGCTCTCAGTGGACTGTTCTCTCTCTCACTTCGGACCAGCGAACACCAGGGCTCAGCCTCACACTCCCCTCTGCCCTCAAAATAGTCTCTCCTCCATGTATCAATCCCCTGGTTTCACCAGGGGAAGCCTGGAGATAACATCAGTCGTTCAGCACTGAACCACCCCGGTGGAATCACTCCCAAATCTCCATCTCTGGTTTCCTTGTTGGGGAACCTAGTGAGGGCCTCCTATGTGCCATGTCTGAAACTAGGCAAGGACTGGGAGACAGAGTGGATAAAAAATGGACTGAGGGGACAACTGCATGACTCCACACCATGTGTTTATCTCTGATAGAAGAACTGTGGGTGAGAGGGATGTTTTTTTTGCCAGGCAAAGGACACCAAGACTGTGTTTCATTAAAAACCAAAATAAAACCAAGAACAGTTGATGATATCTGTTGGGATGTCGGAAAAACTATGACACATTTTTGCAATGAAAAACATAGAAAAAATATGTCATGACTTTTCCGACAACTCAATAGATGGGGAAAGTTTGCATGCATTTAAATAACGATTTACTAAATAAATAGCTTAGCTATCTAAACTATTATTTACTTAGCACCTATTATGTGCCAAACACTGGTCTCAGTGTCTGGGATGCAGCAGTAAACAAAACAGGCAACTAACCCCCCCTTGTGGTAGAGGCCAAAAATAGATCACAAACAAAATAATAAGTAAATTGCATCATATGTTTGATGGTGATAGATGCTGTTTTTAAAAACCGGAATGTTAATAGAGAGAGGGGACCGCTTGTGACAGAGAGGGTTGTGGGCCGAACTTTAAACTTTAAATAATGAAGCCGGGGTCCTGACTAGGACTCACTGAGAAGATGATATTTGAGCAAAGACTTGAAAGAGGTATGGAAGGAGAGGGAAGAATATTCCAGAACATTCTATGATAGCTGGCGGGAATACGCTGGGCATAAATGAGGAG